AAGATGTGGTACATATATGCAATGGAATATTATTCAGCCATAAGAAGAAAACAATTTCTACCATTTGCAACAACATGGATGGAGCTAAAGGGTATTATCCCTAGCGAAATAAGCCAGGCAGAGAAAGACAAGTATCTAATGATTTCACTTATCTGTGGAGTATAACAACAAAGAAAAAACTGAAGGAACAAAACAGCTGCAGACTCACAGAACTCAAGCATGGACTATGGACTAACAGTTACCAAAGGGAAAGGGACTGGGGAGGGCAGGTGGGAAGGAAGGGATAAGGGGGGAAATGAGGCATTACGATTAGCACACATAATGTAGCAGGGGAACATGGGAAAGGCAGTATATATAGAGAAGAGAAATAGTGATTCTGTAGCATCTTACTACGCTGATGGACAGTGACTGTAATGGGGTATGTTGGGGTGACTTGGTAATGGGGGAGTCTAGTAACCATAATGTTGTTGAAGTAATTGTACATTAATGATATCAAAATAAAAAAAGAAAAAGTATATAAGAACCTTGGTGGCCCCCCAAAAAACAGAAAAAAATGCCTTTCCCTTATTTTGTTTTTTCTCCCAGCAACTAGTATAACCTGCAATTTCTCTCTCTCTCTCTCTCTCTATATATATACACACACACACACACACACACACACACACATATACACATCAACATATATAAAATATATATACACTAATGCATGTTATGCATATATATTGTTTTTGTTTTTTGTTTATAGTCTATATCCCTCTAGATTATAAACTCTGTGATGGCAAGAACTTCTATAGTTTGTTTACCACTATCTCCCTGTGGCACAAACTGTTTATAGGTACCAAACACACATTTTCCCCTTTTTCCTCTTAGTTACAGAACCTTCAAATTCTGTCAATCTATGAAGCTAACTATCTGGATTTCCTAGTGTCTCTTGCAGCTTGGTGTGGCCAGATTGCTAAAAACTGTGGTCATAGGATGTGAGCAGAAGCGATTTGTACAACTTCTAGTTGTGCTTTTAAAGGGAAAAGGAGTTTTCTTCTCAGCTTCTTCCTTCCTTAATGGTGACTGAAAAGCAAACCCTATGTAAGCCATCTTAAATAGAATAGACAAGGGCAAGCAAGACCCAGGGAACAGCAGAAGAAGACATAAAATACTGCACTCCCATTAACTTCATATGGCAGAATCACTCTAATAGCCTGGACTTCTATCTTTTTTAAGCTACTGTTTATTTCCTTCCTGGTCTCTCTCACATGGAAGTCAAACATTTATCCAACAAATAACAGCCCTCATCACGTAGAGCAAGGCCTTGCAAGAGAAGGCCTTGATACATTATTTACTGAAGAACAAGTGAATTAATCAGTCTCTTGATTAGCATGAGCCAGAACCCTCAAACATGGTCTACATCTAATTACACTAACAAAGTCTAGTTTCTGAATCTGTAAAACTATAGCTAAGCTCTACATCTAATACGGTGCCCAAACCTATGGCCCTGTCTGAACAGCCAAAGAGTGTCCCTCTGATTTTTAATGTTCACCTCTCTAAGCTTCAATGACTTAATTTCAATGACAACTTTGCATATGACCTCCCCAGTTTTGATAACAGATATATCTTTAGTCATATTGAAATGTCTACTTTTTTTGGATGTGTATGGTATATAAGGACTTGTAAATGATAAACTTCAGTATTATCAGTGAAAAAATGATATTGTTGCAAACAATACAAGTCTTGAAATATAAAGAAAACAAGATGATATAACTTAACAAAATGAATCAAGTCAGATGACAGTATCAAAAAATATTTAGATTTTCCCTCAATAGACAAGCAGCAGAGTAACTGACCAAATTAAACGAGCTCAGAGTTTATTTCATTAAACCTTAGAGCAACTTAGAAGCTAAAAAAAACAGACAACACAGATATTTTTTGTCAAAACAAACTCAGATTCTTTTTGTCTTTCATACTGCTATTCTCACTCACTGGCTGTATTATCACCAGGACCGTAGAAAAGACAGTTATATAACTGCCTGGACACCAGAAAAAATAGGCAGTTGCCGTAGTAAGATCAAGAGGGAAAGATGAAAACTGAGGAAACATCTAACCTGACATCTTTAATCTGAGGAATGAACACCACAGACTACTTCAACTCTAGACTTACCTACATGACAAAAAGAAACCTTTGTTGGATCAAATTACCATTCTTTGGATTTTTCATTACATGCAGCCAAATATTTTCAGGTATTATAATTCAGAAAATTATTATTTTCTGAAAAAGATTACAGTTATATTTCTTATCCTAAATATTTCATGTAGCCTAGGATAAGGATATGTCAAGGGATAAAATTTTTTTGACAGTCATAATTCACTTCCAAATATGTAACTACTAATAGCATTTTGGGTCTACTTTACCCCAACAGATAAGACTTACCTGAAATTTAAGTCATTTACATCTGTGTAAATATATGGAAATTTATGCAAAGATCATTAACATGCTAATCAACACACAAAAGCAAACTGTTTTGAGCGCCTCAAGAAAAGAATTTTTAAAAATCCTAACTCAATTCATTCATTGAACAAATACTATGTTCTTATTAAATTCCACAGACTGTGTCCCAAGGATTACCAAAATAAAATGAAACATGTTTCCCGTACTCTCATTAAGCTTGCAATTTAGCAGACTATCAAATAAATCTGCTCTGGAGAGTTTTTCTTTGGCTTTAGCAAAGTTAAACCAAGAACAGAGGGAGAAGGTATTCTGTAACTACAGAAACATATTTTTTAAAACACACTAGGATCCCCATAGAAATATGGGCAAAAGATACCTAACAAACAATCCACAAATGGCTAAACACACGTACATACTATTCGCAGTAGTAATCAGATACGTGAACTAAAAAAAGATAAATAAATATATATTGAAATGGCAAAGATTCTAAAGCAATACCACACAAGGCTAATAAAAGGATTTTCTCAAGCAATTACATACGCTGCTGGTAGAAATATAAATCAATGTAACCTTTTTAAGTATCTCATACTTATATCATACTTACAGAAATGCCAATTCTCTGTATGTTGAAAACTCTTTTTATTTTTATTAAAGTGCCATTAATATACAATCTCATGTTGGTTTCAAATGTGTATCACAGTGGTTCAACAGTACTCATGATCAACATATTGTGATTTCAAATGCCCCTTTATCCCTTTCCCCCCATTGTACCCACCCCAACTCTTCCCCCTTTGTAACCACTAGTCACTTCTCAGTGTCTATAAGTCTACTGATGTTCTGTTCCTTCTGAAACTCTTTTTCTTTGCTCTTAGAAAAAACTGGCATTAAAAATGCAAAAGAATTCATAGCTAAGGCTTAGAATCTCCAACAACTTACTGTTTCAAAGCTGCCTTTATGCATCAAATCAATGGGTGGCCGGAATAGATCTGCAAGGGTAGTTAGTTTCTTATCTATTGCTCCTCCATTTCTTAATTCCTGTTCTTGTCGAACTGCACAACAGGAGGATGAGAAAATTTAAATTAGCCATAAAATAAGTCGTGAATCTAGCATCATAAAAAACATATATCATCAGCAAGAATTCCTGAATGACATGCTGACTTCAAATGCAAACATAAATATATAATGCTGACTCTGCAAAAAAAAACCCCACAAAAAACAAAACAAAAAAAGCAGGGCAGAGAGGAAGTCTTAAGAGGGTGGTGCTCTCTATCCAGCAGAAAATTGTATTAGAGTCACCCACCAAAATATTTCCTTCACATATTCAGAACTAACTTTATTATAGGAGGAAGCTTTTATTTCCATTTATCTAGTTCTGAAAGTGATCCTTATTTATCTGTTCTTTCTAGCTACATTCCTAATCTTTAAAGATTCTGGCAATGACCACAATTGTCACTTTCTCCTGGAAGGGCACAGGCTTCCCTGATGACCCTTCAACTCTCTCCAAAGTTACAAGATCTCTCTGTGCTTCAATGAGCTCATTACAAATCAATACAAAATCAAGCATGGTCCAAGAGTTTCTCATATATTCTCTAAACATAATTGTCCTTTACGATTCCACCTCTAATCGGTACTAAATCCTCTAAAAATATAAGGCCAAGATTCTTGTTCTAGTAGATTCTCATTTCATAAAAAGAGAAAAACCAATTCCAAACAACTGTAGCCAAAATATTAATAGTGACTGTTTTTGGTAGTGTTGCTTTTTCTTGTCTATTTTTTAAAAATCTCCTATAATACCCATTTTCATTGTGGTCATTTCTTTGAAAGATTTTAGGATCTTGAGGGAAATCAGTTCCTTATTTTATTATATATCCAGCATTTAAGTAATCATTCAAAAGCTGCTTAAGTTCATAAATTACCAGATTTCTTATATTATCTCCATCTCTTATTATTCTTCTGGCACTAAATACGTTACAATTTGGAATAATTCAGCTCAAGGAGGAATCAGTAATAATCATAGACTGAATCATAATTTCACGTTTAAAGTGATTCTCAAAGTAATTAGGCCTAAGATTAACTGCCTTTTTCTTAAAAAAAAAAGTACATTAAACAAATTAAGATCTTGACCTATAGGGTGCTTGTGTAAGGCTGCTTTTCCAATTTGTGGTTTATATGTGGGACGGGGGGAGGAGGGGAGAGAGAAAGACAAGGAGGAAGAGAGAGAGAGATGATAAACTGGTTCATAGATACCTACTAGTTTCAGTTTGAAAGTCCCGGAAACCATCAAATATTGAGCGTGCAGGCCGTCGTCTTTTAGGAGCTTTAGGGGTTAAAAAAAAAAAAAAGAATTGATACAAAAATTTAAGCCTAAGTTTTTAAACAATTCTGTAAACTTCCTTATCTGTAAGTATTTCTCATTTTTAAACACTCAGATTCATAATGGTTCCTGCCTTCAAAAAATAAAATATTTTAAAAGCCTGCAAGTCATTCATATACAATTAACTCAACCATCTTCATCCAAACCATTCTGTTTTACAAAAAGAAAACTAAGGCCCAGTTAAGAAACTTTTGTTAAAATACCCAAAGAAAAGATTTTGAGGATGACTTCCCATGGAAATAAAGCTACACACATGCTGCACATGTCTAATTCCAAGTAGGCTAGGGTATCTGACTACTCTTGGTACAACACTTGAGTAATCACAATTAACCAAGTTCTAAATCATAATGTTTAAGAACTACTTCTTAGTGGTTGGATAAATGGAAGAATGAAGAGAACCATGTCTTCTGATATCCCTGAATAGTTTCTATTATGCAATCCTTAGGTGCTTTTATAGATGAAGTCTAAAAAGAAATAATCAAAATATTTTCCTATATGTATGTGTTCTTAAATCTAAAAAACAATTAGATCATTTATATACATTACAATAATTAAGAACATGTAAGACTCAGGGCAAGATGGCAAAATAGGAAAATCCTGAGAGCTTGCCTCCTCCCATGGACATTGCTAGGTTACAATTGCATATAAAGTAACTCACTGAGAGAGACCTGAAGACTAGCAGAACAGCTCTTCCAGAGCTAAATATATGTAAAAAAAAAAAAAAGCCACATCAAGAAGGATAGGCAGGGCACCATGTGGTTGGTAACCAACCCCACAGTGTGGCAACCTATAAGCGGGGGAGGGATATCACAGGTGTAGAGACCCTCTCTATAAAGCAAGGAATCCAAGCCCCATATCAGGTACTCCTCCACCGCCATCCTGGTAATCTGCACTGAGAAGTACAGCTGCTAAATGTCTGGCTCTGAAAACGACCAGCAGGGCTTCACTCCAGGAGAGCCAGAGGGCTAAAGGAAACCAAGACACTGCTCTTAAAGGGCCTTCGCACAGTATCACTCAATGCAAGATTTAACACCTTACTTACATCAATAAGCATTCACACAGAATGCGTTCACACAGACAGAGCATTCACACAGAAAATGGGTAAGGAAATACTGACTTACATTAGACCAACAGACTTAACAGGTAGATACAGAACAGTTCATCCAAAACCAGCAAAATACAAATTCTTTTCAAATGAACATGGAGCACTCTCTAAGACAGATCATGTTAAGCCACAAAACAAGCCTCAATAAATTTAAGAACAATGAAAGCATATTAAGCATCTTTTCAACCATGACAGTAGGAAACTAGAAATCACTTACAAGAAAAAAACTGGAAAAACCCACAAACACCAGGAGGCTAAACAACATGCTATTAAACAACCAGTGGGTCAATAAAGACATCAAAGAAGAAATAAAAATATATACCTCGAGACAAAATGAAAATGGAAATAGAACATTCCAAAATCTTCAGGATGCAGCAAAAACAGTTCTAAGAGGGAAGTTTATAGTGATCACACTTATCTCAAGAAATAAGAAAAATCTTAAATAATCTAGAAAAAGAATACCTCAAAACACTAGAAAAAGAACAAAGAGGAAGGAAGGAAGGAAGGAAGGAGGGAGGGAGGGAGGGAGGGAGGGAAGGAAGGAAGGGAGGGAGGGAGGGAATAATAAGGGTCAGAGTGGGAATAAATTAAATAGAGAAAAATAAAACAAAAGATCAATGAAAAGATAGACTTTGAAAAGATAACAGACAGAACTCGTTCTTTGAAAAGATAAAATTGATAACCCTTCAGAGTAACTCATTAAAAGAAAAAAGAGAGGACTCAAATAAATGAAATCAGATGAAAGAGAAGTTACAGCCAACGCCACAGTTATACAAAGGATTCTAAGAGACTACGAAGGATTACTACTACAAAAAATTATACACTAACAAATTGGACAATCTAAAAGAAATGGATAAATTCTTAGAAATATATTATCCTCCAATACTGAATCAGGAAGAAGAGAAAAGCTGAAGAAATTGATTACTAGTAATGATATCAAATCAGTAATCAGAAAATCAAAACAAAGAAAAGTCCAGGACCAAATGGATTCACAGATGAATTCTACCAGATATTTAAAGTTTAGTTAATACCTACTCTTCTCAAACTATTTCAAAAAATTAGAGGAAGGAATGCCTCCACATTTGTTAGCAGATATCAAAGCATTATTCTGATACCAAAACCAGACAGACAGTACAAAAAAAGAAAAACAGAGGCCACTATTCCTGATAAACACAGATGCAAAAATTCTCAGCAAAACTCTCAACAAAGTCAGTATTAGAGGAAACATACCTTAACATAAAAGCCAGATATGCCAAACCCACAGCTGACATCATACTCAACGGTGTAAAGCTGAAAGTTTTTCCTCTAAAACCTGAAACAATCAGATATGAACAACCACTCTTGACACTTTTATTCAACACAGTACCGGAAGTCCTAGCCACAGCAATCAGACAAGAAAGAGAAATAAAAGGTATCTGAACTGAATAAAGAAGTAAAATTTGAGAAGATCTAAAAACTCTACCAAAAAACTATTAGAACTAATAAATGAATTCAGTAAAGATGCAGGATACAAAATTAGTATGCCAAAATCTGTTGTGTTTCTACACTCTATTAATGAATTAGCAGAAAGAGAAATCAAGAGAACAATCCCATTTACTATTCCCATCAAAAAGAATAAAATCCCTAAGAATAAATCTAACCAAGGAGGTGACAAGACCTGTACTCTGAAAAGAATAACACACTGAAGAAATTGAAGATGAACAAATAAACAGAAATATATTTCATGCTAATGGATTAGAAGAATTAATATTGTTAAAATGTTCATACTACCTAAAGCAAGCTAGAGATTTGATGCAATCCCTATCAAAATACCAGTGTTTTTTTTCACAGAACTAAAGCAAATAATCCTAACATTGTATGGAACCACACAAGACCCCAATCAGCCAAACAATCTTGAGAAAGAACAACAAGCTGCAGGTATCAAAATCCTGGATTTCAAACTATACTACAAAGCTACAGTAATCAAAACAGTATATAGTAATCAAAACAGTAGCTATAGTGGCACAAAAGCAGACACATAGGTCAATGGAACAGGATAGAAAGCCCAGAAATAAACCCACATTTATACAGTCAAGTAATCTATGATAAAGGGGATATGAATATACAAAGAGGAAGACAGTTTCTTCAATAAATGGTGTTAGGAAAACTGGACAGCTACATGCAAAAGAATGAAACTGGAACACTTTCTTATACCATTCACAAAAATAAACTGGAAATGGATTAGAGACATAAATATAAGCCCTGACCATCAAACTCCTGAACAAAATCATAGGTAGTAAACTGGATATCAGTTTTAGCAATATTTTTTTTGGATCCGTCTCCTCAGACTAGTGCAATAAAAGCAAAAATAAACAATTGGGATTACATCAAATTAAAAAGTTTTGCACAGTAAAGGAAACCACTAACAGAATGAAAAGTTAACCTACTATATGGAAGAATATTATTTGCAAATGATACCAACCAACAAGGGGTTAATATCCAAAATATATTTTAAAAACTCATACAATTCAACAAAAAGGCAAATAATCTGATTAAAAAATGGGCAGAGGATCTGAATAGACATTTTCCTAAAGAAGACATACTGATGGCCAGCAGACACACAAAAAGATGATGCTCAACATCACTAATCACTAGGGAAATGCAAATCAAAACCACAGTGAGATTATCACCTTACAGTAATCAGAATGGCTACTATCAAAAAGAAAAGTAACAAGTGTTAGTGAGAATGTGGAGAACACTTTCATGACTGTTCATGGGAATGTAAACTGGTGCAGCCACTACACAAAACTATGAAGTTTCCTCAAAAAATTAAAAATAGAAATATATGACCCAGTAATTCCACTTCTGGGTATTTACCGAAAGGAAAAAAAAAAGCATGTATTTGAAAAGACACATGCACCCCTTTGTTTATTGCAGAACTATTTACAACAAAGATATGGAGGAACCTAAGTGTCTACCGACAGATGAACAGATAAAGATATGGCACATATATACAATGAATATTAAATTACTCAGGCATAAAAAAGAATGAAATCTTGCAATCTGTAACATGGATAGACCTAAAGGGTATCATGCTAAGTGAAATAAGATATGCAGAGAAAGAGAAATACCATATGATTTCACATATGTGGAATGTAAAAAATAAACAAAACAAAACAAAACAGAAACAGAAACAGATTCATAAATACACAGAACAAACCGTAGTTGTCAGGGCTGAGATGCAAAATAATGAAGGAGATAAAGAGGTAAAAAGTTTCAGTTAGAGAATAAATAAATCATGGGGAGTTAATGTACAGAACAAGGAATATGGTCAATAACACTGTAATAATTTGTATGGTGACAGATGGTAACTACAGTTATTGTGGTGACCATTTCAAAATGTATATAAATGACAAACCACTATGTTGTACACCTGAAACTAATACAATATTGTATGTCAACTACACTTCAATTAGAAACAAATAAATAAAATGTTAGTCCTAAAAAAAAAAAAAAGATATTTAATGATTCTTTCAATATGGGTAACAGTTATTAAGATGGCTGATAGCACACCTGGTCAGTATGTAACCAGAACAATATGCCATGCTAATAAATGAAGATTATCAGTAAGAGTAAACAGAAAGTATAAAAGTCTCCCATCCTGTATCTCGTCCAAACAGTCTATTTTCCATTAGGTAGGATAATTCTTTCTACCCAAGAACTATTGAGTAAAGACCAAAAAAACCCCAAAAATAAACAACATAAAATGAAGGACTACATGTAAAAAACCTCATTTATAAAGCATTATCTTTCTGTATATTATTTATGTACTTACGTATATCACTATTTTCAAGAATCATATTATCTCTAGGCAAAGGGATTTGTTTTTAAAAAAATTCACATTTTAGTTCTGTGTTGAATTTTTAAATTTAGTTTTATTTGTACTGAATTTAGCTAAATTAAAATGTAAATATTATATTACTTTTTTCTCCTTTCCTTTATAAAGAAACAAGAAATGTTATTTAATATTTAAACTATTTTTCATCAAGAGTTCCTATTCCAAATGTGTATGTTCTAGGAGAAATAATACAGCCTCTCAAAATAATGCCTTCTTAAAACTTGTTATCACATACTTTTTAACCATAACAATTAAGAAAGTAAGAGTATCTTAGGATGAAATGGAATAGCTGCCTAAGAAAGCCATGTTATTATTGAGGGGGTAGTATATGAAAGTTAGTTTCCTTTTACTTTGAAATTTCAAGAGGCAAGCCAGTCAATATTCTACGTTATTTCACACACACACACACACACTCTCTCTCTCTCTCTCACACTCCCTTTCTCTCTCTCTCTTTTCCCAATTTAGTCTTTCTCTTTTGAGCAGTTGATCTCCTGGGGATTCTTACTCATTTGTTTCTCTTATTGATAGCCTTCTACCCAACTTCTTTTATTTCTAGGGCCCATAGCCTGCTCATAGCCTGATCCTAAGTCTAACCAAGAACCTCTCCACGGGACTCAACACCTCTAGCTCTAGGACCATTATTATTCCTGCCTGCTTCTTCAATATGTCATTTCCTGACTCTTCCTAGCCATCTTCTATCCTCTGTACTTTCACTCTACTACTCGCATAATAGGAATGCTGGTCACTGAGGTCAAAGAGGTTAAGCTACAACAAGCTAAAAGAGATTCAAAAGGAGTTACACAGTCAGAATAGGGGAGTGGGACAGGTCAAGAAAGAAATGTAATGAAAAGAGTGACACTGTTTCACATTCCCACATATCTTTGTTAACAGCTGGCAAGAGAAGACACCAGGATTTTCAGATCTGCTTCTGCACTCAACTTGCTACTATTCCTTTAAGTACATGGAGAAAATTAAAATCCAACCTCAGGGGAACCCTCCTACACTGTTGGTGGGAATTTAAAGTAGTTTAACCATTGTGGAAAGAAATATGGAGGTTCCTCAAAAAACTAAAAATAGAAATACCATTTGACTCAGGAATTCCACTGAAGAAAAGAAAATCCCAGATTCAAAAAGACGTATGCACCCCTATGTTTATCCACAGCACTATTTACAATAGCCAAGATATGGAAGCAACCTAAGTGTCCATCAGTAGATGATGGATAAAGAAGATGTGGTACATATACACAATGGAATATTATTCATCTGTAAGAAGAAAACAAATTCTACCTTTTGCAACAGCATGGACAGAGCTAGAGGGTATTATGCTCAGTGAAATAAGCCAGGCAGAGAAAGACAAGTACCAAATGATTTCACTCATTTGTGCAGTATAGCAACAAAGCAAAACTGAAGGAACAAAAGAGCAGCAGAATCACAGACTCCAAGAAGGAACCTAGCAGTTACCAAAGGGAAGAGGGTGGGGAAGGTGGGTGGGGAGGGAGGGAGAAGGGGATTAAGGGGCATTATGATTAGCACACAGGGAAGGCAGTATAGCATAGAAAAGACAAGTAGTGACTCTATAGCATCTTACTACGCTGATGGACAGTGATTGCAATGGGGTGTGTGGGGGGACTTGATAATATGGGTGAATGTAGTAACCATAATGTTGATCATGTGAAACTTTCGTAAGATTGTATATCAGTGAATCTTAATAAAAAAAAATTCAATCTCAGACATGTAGCTGTAAAAGGGAGGATTACTTTAATAGTTTTTAAAGATAACTGTGAATATTGTCCTTTGATACTACATCAAAACTCAACAACTAGTAGTTTATTAAGGGTTAGTTGTAACATAGAATCTGAAATCTTTTATCAATAAACTTTTCATACTCTGCTCCATTAAAATCCATTGGTTTCTGTGGTAGGCAGGCTCTCAGACGGTCTCAGTTATGCCTATCAAGATCTTGGTATTCATAACCTGTGTGTGATTATCTTGAATATGGGCAGGATCAAAAAGAATGTGGCAGAGGTGATGGGCTGGGTTGTCGCTTCAAGATTAGATACAAGAAGATGGTAGCTTCCATCTTGGGCTGCCTACTCAAGCTCTCTCATTTGCTCTGTGGTAAGGAACTAATGTCTCCAGTTAACCAACAGTCACGAGAGTGAGCCTGAAAGGAAATCCTCCTCTTCAAGCTTTGAGATGACTGTAGCCCTAGCTGACACTTTGATTATAACCTTGTGAGACACCCTAAGAAAAAGTACTCAGCTAGGCTACATCCTGACCCACATAAACTGTGAGATAACAAATGTTTGTTTGAGGAAACTAAATTTTGGAACAACTTGTTACACAGCAATAGCTATCTAATCTACATTTATATGAATCCATCTGTCTTTAACTTATGCACAATTTTGTAATATTGTACACTGGTCATTGAAAATACTTCAGAGTTTTACAAACATTTCAAATATTGCCCATTCATTATGCAATATATATTTTAAAATCACCATCTGTTAATGTTACCACTAATCTCACCAGAAACCCTTTAAGTATTAGAAGCTATCCAGCTCACAACTGTGGATAAAAACTTTCTAAAATTCTACTTTCTTCCTGAAAGCTCTTTTTCTTTTTTGTTACTCACTGGTAACAAATAACATCAGTTGTTTCCTTTGAAGCAGTAAAGGCTTTTGTTCATATTAAAAACCATCTGCCAAATGTGTAAGTCAAAATAACTATAATTTGTTAGCAATCTCTCAAGTAAAAAAACTGTTCCCTGAAAAAAGCAGCTAGTTTAGTTCACAACTCAAACTGTACAAGTGCTCTTCCTTCAAGTAACCACAGAATGCATTATGCAGAAGTGTTCTGTACACACATATTTCATCAGTTTAAAAATTTATACCCAAGGTTTAAGATTTAATGAAATTAATTTTATTGCTTTATCAAGAACATTATTAAATAAAATTGGCTTTTTTTAAAAAACTGTATTAGTGTGTAGCAGTGAAGAATTCAGTAGGTAGTAGTAGTATGGTACCATTGCCCTGATTCAATTAAGATGTACCAGCTTGACCCAGCTTTGCTTCTGAACCATCAGCCCAAATGTCAACACAGTGAAAAAGGAAAATAACTTCTTAGCATTATTTTGAAAATAATTTTGACCTTACAGAATTCCTGAAAGGCTATCCAAGACCACACTTTCAGAATTACACTTCAAATCAATACTGTCCTAAGAAGAAAAGAGTTCTCCAAAGACTTTTCTCAAGCTATAACAAGGTCTAATGATGAAAGTCAGACTGACTTTCTAACTGTATAAAGTCATTCTCATCCCCCTCTACATCAAATTAGAGGTAAAAGGAGGAACGTGGGGTTTCAAATGTGAACTCTTTGCCTCTGTTTAACAGTAAAACAACACAAAATCTACTTCCTGTAGTCTTCCTCACTCGAAGATCCTGTCTTATTTCTTATAATAAAGAAAAGATAAAGCTTCTGAGGGCACTGCTGCTCAGCTCCAAAATCTATCTATTCATGATATTTATATGAAAAAAAAGTATGAACAATGCTTTATTATTTCTGGTATATCAACAGCATAATGACTGGCTGAATCAAACAGTCCAGAAAGTGCCTATTATACTTCAGTATTCAGATCTTGTAGTTTTCCTCCTCCCATCTTTATTCTTTAATCTAGACAGTATATTCTTCTATTTCTTGTTACAGTAAACTCCAAAGCTGCCAAGTTAAAGATTGATCTTTAAAAAACTCAATTAAGGTGCTCTTTCAAATCAAAAGATATGGTTTGTATAATTTTCTTAAACGTATTTCTGCTCCTTTATTCTAGTTTACTACAAGACTTTTTACAGGCCTATGTCTCTGCATTAGTGTTCTCAAGATGTATAATATACACTTCTATGTCTTTGGCCAACCAGATTATAACTTTATCTTCTAATTTTTAATATGCTTATTAATGCCTAAAATATTTGGCTCACAAAAGGTAAATAAGTGCTTATTAAACTAAAACTAAATTTCCTTTAGATCAATTAAATGTCTCATTTTCTACCATCTTCTCTATGCATCCAGATTGTATCACAATTTTTTGCATACCTTAGGTATTACTCTCACTTTTAGAAAATAAGACGAATGAAGGTATCGAGACAGTAAGGATATGGCAGTAACTTAAGTATCGAGAAAACAAAAAATAATGGGGAGTCTTTTTAATTAATGATAGATTGGTTTCCATTATAAGGCAGATTTTCTTTCTGTTAATTTTCCTCCTTTTGGTCTTCTGCAACATATTTCAACTTTTTGTTTCACTTCTTGGAAGAACCAACTGCGCAATTCTCCTAAGAAGAGTACAGAATTACATGATAATAGCTGACTATATTTGAAATAACAATCGCTGAGCAAACCTCACTTTTGTTAGCTTCATTAAAATCCTAAATAATTAAGTAAAATAAAGCGAAGGAAAAAGGGTAAACTTACCACCAAACAAAGGTTCTGGTTCCACCAATATTTCTTGCTTTTGAGGAATTGGGGCACGAACTTCTTCTCTATTAAAAAATAAAGTGGGAAAATATCAAAAGGAAACTGTTTTCTTCTACCTGTTCTCTCTGTAATTTGTGAATGCATTCAAATTAACAAGTAAAATAAACACCAGTCTTAGTGGCTTTTAGGAGTCACAGTGCTAAATGACTGTTAGGTGGTTTCCATACTGGAATAAAGCACCTGGCATAGATAGCTCAAACAGTTTATAAAGAAAGAGAACAAGCAAACAAAAAAATATTCCCCTTTCCTCTAAAGTTCCCTACTCTAAATTCTTTCAGGAAAAAAAAAATGACAATAGGAGTAAAACCAACCAACAAAACAAAGAGGCAAAAATTAATGGAAAAATATAGGCTCAATTAAAGCAATATTACATTACCACTGTATCAAGTAATAGATAATTAAATCACAGATATATTAAAATAAGCTAAACAAACATGCAGTGAATTTTATGCTAGTTACAAAGATGGCTAACATAACTATTACCTTGGATTATTTATGAACTAGACCCTAATATATACAGAAGAGAAAAAAATAATTACCCATCTTTTAAAAGCCTATAAACTCTTCAAAGTTCACTTCCAGAGGATTTACTAATAATCTGTATTTTCCAGTAAAAAATATTCATTTAGATATATTGTAAAAATGGTGTAAAAATGGAAGTATCAGTTTTACTATTTTGTAGTTGTAACTCAAATATTAAACTCTGCTGATTAATGTTCGTAGCAAGGAACAGTAAATTCCAAATTTATTGCCTCCCTGCTTATAATAAATGTTAATCTAAATTAGGCCTAATGTTTTCCAGTCAGGTGTTTCTAACAGTAATATCTAAGCTTAAAGCCCTGTTTTTGGTATCTAAAAGTTGGAACTACAAAACATATTTACAAAATTAAGTATGAATACTCATTTGTCAACAAGAGCTAACAACCTGTAACCAAAGAACTAGCTGGACAGGGGAGCCTAGTAAACACAATGTTCTTCAATAAAAAATAAAAAAAAAAAAGAACTAGCTAGACAAAGAAATCTACAATAAGCCAAGTGACTAAAAGATAAAGGACAATTCACAATTATATTAAGTATTCTTTCCTACTAGATATCAGTCACTGACAGAATTTCAATAACCTTAAGAATAAGATGATATATCTGTAAGGGGAAGCTCTATTAGTCATCTTTCATCAAAAAGAAATAGGCCATTATCTTAAGAAAACTAAGACTTTAAAAGGCATGTTTTACCTAAATCTTTCCATTATATCAGTATATCAGTATATATATATATATATATAGCATATTACATTTTACAGCATATGTATATATTACCCCAAGACAATATAATTACTCAAAAAACAAGTCTTACAAATATAAATTAAAAAAAACTTCTGAATATAAAAACAAATAAGTCTTAATCTGATGAAATACTTCAGTTAGGGAGATAGATTGAAAGTAGCTCCTATACACAAAGACTTAATTATTCAATATTTGAGGTTATCTGTTCCAAGAGTATTAGCTACTTAACAAAATGGAAGAATGGAACAGAAAAAAGGTGAATTGTAAAGTGAGAATTATAGTTTAGGAATTAGAAGGCACTATCAAATCAGTTACCAATACAATCTAAGTCAAATTGGAATGTAATTCAGTAGGAAAAAGCATTCGTTAATCAAAATAATTTTTTAACAGAATTAAGAAAACATGTTTTGTACAGTGAGAGGCAATGGGTTCCCCCAAATCAGTGGTGAATATTTGTTATTCAAGTTTCTGCAAACTAAATCATGCTTTTATATTGATTCCCATGAAAACGTTGCACTATGTTGTAGGGGATTGGGATATCAACACCCAAAATACACAGCCAACACTGACAGGAAAAACTTCATAAAATATTAATTCATACAATATAAATATAAATATTTGTTATACACACATACATAAAATTTATGTTACTGGAAAGTTCATTCTTCATGCAGAAACAATACTACTCTAGAATCTGGAACTAAATCAACAAAAGAGGCAATTACGTCCTGAATGTTATTTGGCTTTTTAAATCTATCTCTAATCAGTTAAAAAAAAAAATTCATTTTTTTTTTGCCTATTCTATTCCCTTCAACAGGAAATTCCTCTTGTTTAGAGAGTCATAAAGGCTATGAGTATTAAAGTCTTACTTAAGGATCTTTTTAATTTTTCAGTGGTTTTCCTTTGAGTAGCATTCATCTCTAATATTTTCCAAAGGCTGGAATTCCACCCAAAAGGTTTTCATTTCAAACTCTCATTGGTATCAAGGGCTAAAAACACTGAATCTGTTCACCAATTTATTATTATTTTCTATCCAGTACAGCTCCATATGCTGAAGGTGCTTCTAGTGATTACATCTTAGTTATGTGCAAAGGACTAGAAGTATTTTTCAAACATTTTTCATGGCAGGTCAGACTTTCCTGGGACAATGTAGGAAAATCTATAATTGGGAAATCTGAGCTTTTTACGCTTTACTTTCCTGTTACTTAATTGCTGTGTAACGTGGGAAAATGGCTATGCCTCTGCTTCCTCATCTGTAAAATATGGATAATAATGCTATTCTATAAGGGTTCTCTTGAGGATTAGATATGACAGTTCTCTAAAGAATTAGAAGTATGTAAGTATAAAAGTTTCCACTTGACACTTTCAGATGTTTTCAACTTTTTTCAAAAACAGAGAAATAATACAACTGATAAAAAAGCAACTGCTCAAATTAGGCAGGGAGTAGCTCTTAACAATAAATAATAAATTCATACTCTGTGTGTGGTCTGACAGTAGAGACACTTGCTGAACTGGTACTAGGCTCTTCAGCGATTCCTCCACCATCCAAAAACATAGTGACTGCCATCTCCAGGTTATTGTTGCAGGCTTCAAGCATATGTTTCCCAACACTTTCACTTGCCCCTGAAATAGCAAAAAGACAAGACAAAACTTTAAAAGAGACATCTTACATTCAGATTATATTAGAATACAGAATTCCCAGGCAAATTAACAGTATTTTTTCCCTCTGAGATGGAATTACTTTTTTAAGAGAACCTTTGCACTTACTTCTACAATGTTGGCTTATTAGTGTGAAATACACAGAGATAGAAAAGAAAGTAGCAACATTAAAATAGTCTTCCTCCATAATAAAATTAAACTAAATGAAGTATTTTTTTTGCCATTTCTTTAAATGGACTAACTATATATTTTTTAAAAAACTGAAAAAAGATAAAAATTAAATATTATATTCTAGAAAGTTACAAATACTGTTAGAAAGAATGCACTTCAGTTAGCATTCCTGTCTCTATTAAAAAGAAGATATTTTTGGTATCGATGGGAGAGAAGTGAGATGGGACATTTTTGTCAAAAATGTGATTAAGCCAAAATCTGGTAAGAAATGTCAATCTTCATCATTTAAAACTGGCCTTAGGAGGCGGAGCCAAGATGGCGGCATGAGTGTAGGACAGTGGGAATCTCCTCCCAAAAACATACATATTTTTGAAAATACAACAAATACAACTAATCCTAAAAGAGAGACCAGAAGACACAGGACAACAGCCAGACTACATCCACATGTGAGAACCCAGCGCCTCGCAAAGGGGGTAAGATACAAGCCCCGGCCCGGCGGGACCCGAGCGCCCCTCACCCTAGCTCCCAGCAGGAGGAGAGGAGTCAGAGCAGGGAGGGAGAGGGAGCCCAGGACTGCTAAACACCCAGCCCTAGCCATCCGCACCAGAGCGCAGACACAGTGCATGCGTGGGGTGCTGGAAACTAAGGAAGCAGGACAGTAAGACCTGTGAGCGGGTCCCAAAACTGGCGCCCCTGTGACAAAGAAAAGCAAGTGCTTTTTGAAAGTCTTAAAGGGACAGGGACTCCACAGCTGGACAGAAGCATCCCGGGTCACAGTCCAGCAGCTGGAAATTCCAGGGAACTCCGGGCGCACTAACCCCTGGGCAACAGCTCTGAGACCCCTCACGGAGGTAAACAGCCAAACAACGCCCCATCCATTACCCCTCCGGGGCCCCGCCATAGCAGAGCAGGAGCCTGAGGCTGGCGACGCCCTCACCAAGGGAGGTTCCTCCATATCAGCCAGGCAAGATACAAAGACCGAGTCTATACGCAATTGCCCAACACAAGCCACTAGGGGTCCCAGTTGTCCCAGTAAAGAAAGGCCAGGAGCCAAGTGGAAAAAGGCTTGACTCTCCCAGCTGATAGACGCATCAATAGCACTCCAATGCACCTATCAACATGAAAAGGTAAAAAAATTTGATCCAGACAAGACTAAGCCAGACAGCTTCGACATCTTCTACATCTTCCCCTGAGAAGGAACCTGGGGAGATAGATTTAACCAGTCTTCCTGAAAAAGAATTCAAAACAAAAGTCATAACCATGCTGATGGACTTGCAGAGAAATACACAATAACTAAAGAGGGAGAACACAAAAATAAAACAAGCTCTGGAAGGACTTCAAAAGAGAATGGATGAGATGCAAGAGACCATTAATGGACTAGAAAACAGAGAACAGGAACGTAGAGAAGCTGATGCAGAGAGAGATAAAAGGATCTCCAGGAATGAAAGGATTTTAAGAGAACTGAGTGACCAATAGAAATGG